GGTACTGGTACAATGACAGACACATAGATCAATGGAATAGAATTGAGAACCTGGAAATCAGCCCATCTACCTATGATCAACTGATTTTTGACAAGGAGATGAAATCAGTTAAGTGGTGAAATGACAGCTTTTTAAACATATGGTGTTGGCAAAATTGAAGAACTATATGAAGACTCAAGCAAGCTCCACACCTCACTCCATGTACAAAAACCAACTAAAGGTGGATCATGGACCTAGGACCCAAACCAAGGACTATACTTTTCATTAAAGAAAACATTGGAAGAACTCTAGAAGTCCTAATCCACAACATAAACAGTCTTCCAAGTATTCTGAAAAATCTGCAACCAGGAGAAGATAAAATAGATGAATGAGACCTTCTAAGAATTAAATCCGTATTTATTAAATCCCATCCGAAAACTTCTCCAACAAGGTAGAAAGGGAAGCCACAGGAAAAAGTATTTGGTAATGACATGTCAGATAAGGGACTTATATCCAGAATTTATAAAATACTTGAGCACCACAACAAGATAAAGGTAAATAATTCAATTGAAAAATGGGCACAATATATCCACACCATGCTTATTGCAACTTTGTTCACAATAGCAAGGAGTTGAAAACAACCTAAGTGCCCATCAACAAATGAATGGATAGAGAAGCTGTGGTATATTCACATAGTGGAACACTATGCTGTATTGAAAAACAAGGAACTCATGTAATATTATTCAAAATGTTTGACTCTGGAGAACATTATGCTGAGTGAAGTATCCTAGTCACAAAAGGACAAATATTGCATTGGTACCACTGTTGTAAAATAGGACTGACTTTGGGGTTGGGGAGAGACTGGCTGAGAAAGATAGACTCAATAATGTATACTGCACTGAAACAGATGAGGGAAAAGACTGTTTAAAAGGGATATGTGATTAGGGATTTTTGTCATGACAGGAGTCTAGAGCAATGGCTACATGGTGGAGTGGACCTGGGGGAGGGTTTGTAAAACAATAAAAGAATTTTTGTTCTACTTTTCCAAGAGGGTAGTGTTCTGGGGGGAAGGGTTAGGAGGGGATAAATGTGCAACAATGAATGAATGGAAATCCAAAGTCTCTGTAAATTTTTACTGAAATTAATAATAAATTTAAATTTAAAAAAATTAAGTTAGAGTAAGGAAGGCAATGGATTTATAACTTCTCATGCTAATAACACTATATCATGGCATGGAGGAGGAATAGTGGAACTATATCCACATTTACAATATTCTTACCAAAACCATTTATGGAAAATAGGAACTGCATTGGAACATGTATCTCTGGATTGGAAATAATCATATTATTAATATTTCTAGCCTTAAACTTAAAAGATTATATTGTTCAAAATTCTTTGTTATATATTTGTTTAAATTTTTCCCTCTTTTAACAACTGGGATCTAGGGGGAGGAGAAAAGACCAGAGAAGGGCCAAAATTATTAGGGCAGCTATTATTGCCAGTTTAGGGCCTGTGTCAGGAAAAGGAAGTCTTACTCATAAACAATGCCACCCAAAGGTCATCAAGGAGGTCAGAATTGCTTCTCTGAGGAAAGCTGGTATTATTTTCATGATAGGAGTCCAGAACAAAGATGCGTAGTAGAGTGGCCCTGGAGGGAGGGATGGCAAAACAGTGGGGGAACTTTTACTTTACATAGAGAAGAGTGTACTGGGGAGGAGGAGTGGGCAGGGAGAAAAGTGCAACAATGAATGAATGGAAATACAAAGTCTCTGTAAAATTTCATTAAAATTAATAAAAAAATAAAATTAAAAAAAAAGAGAAAGGTAGAAAAGCTATTTCGGAAGTAGATGTTACTCCTGCTTCCGAGCCTGTTTTAATCAGGGAGCTCCACCAAACACTATCCACCACAGGTAACCATTCTCACATCTGACACAACAGTGTCACAGTGTTTAGCATGTTTATATTTTTGAAGTCTTAGAAATTAAATTCCTTTGAAATAAGAACTTATTTTTATATCATTCAATGGTTATGGACATTATTATGTATTTTTACTTTGATCACTGCATATTGCATGTTTAATGATGATATTTGTTAGTAACTTATTTTAAATTTTTAATAAAAATTTGAGTGAGGTCGTCTGTTGTTCTTTCTGTTAGAGCCATCTCAGGTTCTTATTATTAATGATATTCTGATGTAACAAAACTTCTTAGAGAGCATTTATTCTTCACTTTATGGAGAAGCAGTCCTATAGATACAAACTGAATCATGAATACTGTAATGGTTTAGACCATAACCTGGAAGTCATTTTTCTTTCTTTTGTATTCCTTATTTTGGTTAAGAAACTCTCATATAATTGGTGGTGTTATAAGTAACCTCACTATGGCAGCAAAAGATTCCAAATTTAATCATCTTGGTTCATTTTACCATGTATTTCAAAATTATGTTAGTGTTAATCTCCATTATGCTTTCTGTTAAAGGAAAAAGAAACCAAATTACTGATGCTGATTAAATTTTAACTTTTATAAGTATCAAATAAATATTGTAAAAGAAGAAAAGCTAAATTTGGGACTTACAGTTTTCTCTGCATTTGTTGGAGACTAGGGGAGATCTTTGTGTAGAGTCCTTATAGTTCGACAAAGCAAAGTTATAACTATGGAATTCATTCATTTCTGTAGAAGAGCAATTCAAGAAAACATAAGAATTGATCTTTTGGTTACTTGGGGAACATTTTTTTCATATTTAGCTTCTCATTTCCATATATACATTTCCATTAAATGTTCTTTTTT